TATGGTCTTGCCACATCAAGCTGAAAATGGTCACCACTGACTGGATACTTGGGTTTATTGGGAAAAAATGATGCTTCACTTTGTTTCTAAGTTCTGCATTGGTAGGTTTTCATCACCTCATCAACTGAAAAGATGCTGAATGCCTTCCCTTAGGAGAGGTAATATAGTGTAATGATAAAAGTGTGGGCTGAGAAACTCAACTTTCTAGGTTCAGATCCCAGATCTGGCACTTCTCAATGTGTGATGCTGGGCAAGTCACATGAACTTCCCGAGTGCCAGTTTACTCATGAGTCAATGAGAAAACCATAGTGTATGTAATAGTATGTATGTAATAGTCACCTGTCCTTCCTGAAATCCAAGGTCACTTTTACCATCTGGGGATTTTACTCTAAGGTCAGTTTGGTTTCTGGGATGGTAAGAACACAAAACTGGCCTGGTACCTTGTACTAATGGTTAAGGGTAGCCCGATCCAATGTGGCCAGCCATGGTTTAAATCCTAGCCATGGTGACTTAAAAAATATGCCAGGCACATGAGCATGCATACTTCGTATCCTGACAGGATGGAGAAGGACTATGGTGTGACCGTGCTCCATTAGAGGTACTTTCTCCCCCTCTCTCTGTGTCTCTGGTGAGCACATGTGTCCTGGCAGCTAAGAAAAAAGAACCTAGAACTACCCCTTGGTGAGCGTCCTGGTGCAGACCCCTCCTTCTGGGTATCCTTCCCTTTCTTATTAGTGACTCTTTAACCTTCCCAGACACAGTCAGTGCTCTGCTCTCCAGAGGTAGATCTGGCAGAGTAGCTGGGCATGTGTGTGTGCATGCCCAAGATCCCATGCCCAAGATCCCGAGAGGAGAATGGAGGAGAGGGGATTGCAGCGTGGCCATCCCCTCTGGGGGATGATTTCTCGCTTTCTGTCTCTCTGTCTCTCTCCGTCTGTCTGGTGAGTGCATGTGCCCTATAGTGAAAAACCTCTCAAAAAAAAACAAACAAAAACAAACAAACAAAAAAACAAAGTTGACAGAGAAGGAGCACTGTCGGCATGCTACAGAGAGGTACAGACGTCACAGCAAGAGCCAGGCAGGATAAGTGAAGCAAGATGGCCCTGGGGACCAGACAGTGGGGGGCGGCTCATAGCAACTGAGGGCCTCTGTGTTCTCAACACGCCTCGTAGAAGTATTTGACTTTTAAAACACTGCCCATGGGCAAGCAGGTGGCATGGAGGTTAAGGTAACTAGATCTCATGTGACCTACTGTGTGATTTGAGTCCTGGACTTGATGACTTGAGAAACATTCTGGCTGTGTGTGTGTGTGTGTGTGTGTGTGTATTTCCAAAGTCCTGAGAGGAGAATGGTGGAAAAGGATTATGACATGGCCATCCCCTGGGGTGTGTGGGGTGATTTCTCACTTTCCCTCTCTCTGTGTCTATAGCAAACTCAAAACAAAGAAGAAAACTGTCCCTATATCTATTTGATGTTAAAAAGAGAACATGAACAGATGGACTTGGGCACTGTCCTGCAGGGGTGTCACAGAGAAGGGGCAGCAGTTGCGGGAGACCTGAGCTCAGGTGGTGGCTTTTTATGACATTTGACCTACTGAGTTTAGCTCTGTCTGCTTTAATGGCAGGGCTTTGTGTGCAGGAGTGAAGGAGCCAACAGAGTGGAAATTGATGACAGAGGGGTGTAAAGCCCTAATCTGTCCTAGTGCAGGGGTGGCCTTAGACAGGAGCAGGACAGGAAAGCCCTAATCTTCTGTCCCAGTGCAGGGGTGGCCTTAGACAGGAGCAGGACCCCCACCATCACTGGCGGAGGCTGAGGAGACGGAGCTGTGGGGGGAGGTGGGATGATGACACAGTTTTCACCTGAGTTGTCTCTTCTCAGGGAGAAAGGAATCAGCTCATCACCTAAGAGTGGAAAGGAGGCAGGTTGGAGGGTCCGAGGAGGAAGAAGAAGGTGAGGAATACCCCTCAGGGGGTGTGAGAGAGCTGGCCTGGGACATGGCCACTGCAGAGTGCAGGGCCCAAGGCCACCAAGGTTGTGCTGTCACCTGACAGAGAGAGTGAAATGGAGAGAGAGAGAGAGAGAGACCCAGGACTCAGGCAGCAGCAGGAGGATGTAGAACAGACTAGATGAAAATGCAACAAATATCTCTGGATATGAGCATTATGGGCTCTTTTCGTAATTTATACCTGTTAGCGTTTAAAGTTTTTTCTATAATGAATATATATCAAAAATTTTATAAATTATACAAATACATTATTGTCAGATTCTGTGCTAAAAGTTATATAAGGGGGGCAGATTATTAGAAAAAGTCTCAAGAAAAGAGCTGGAAGTGAGGGGTCTCCATGTCTGGCCTCAGGCCATGAACCCGCAGAGCCTCTCTCCGTTCTCAGACACGTCTTCTGTGGGGACGCCACAGCATCTCTCCCTGCTTTTTTGGGGTCATTTTTACGATCTTGTCAGAAGTGTGATGCTTTTGAAAAGAGGTGGCATTTTTAGCTTTTTTCAGAGGAAAGAGCTGTCTGTATAGTTTAGACCACATTTTTCAGAAATGGACATTTAAACACAAAATCATTGGGTGAGGTGTTTGGTCCTAGAGTAGGGGGCCAAATCTGAGTGTGAGCATGTGGCCTGGACGTCATCTGTCAATGCCTTCAGTGTCAGGGATTTTAATATCGCTTATATATTTTCAATGTTTTAAGGTTTTTGCAATAGGGCATGTGCCCTCGCCAGAGAGAGACAGAGGGAAGAAAAGTGGGGAATCCTCCCAGGTGGGAGGGCCATTCAGCAGCCCTCTTCTTCTTTTTTTATTTTATATTTTATTTTTTTCTTCTTTAAATTTATTTATTTACATTAATTCACTATACATCATTACAGCATACAAAATGAATTTTCCATCCAGAATACACTGTATATTGGCTCAATCAAGTACATCAAC